GACGGCAGCTTAGGAAGTGGTTAATTGAATGGCATGTAGAGATGAATAATTGCGCGAAAGTGATTGTAGGTGTCTTTAGACTATGCTAAGTTATTGCGAATGTGTACAACATCCAGAAATAAACGCATCGTTTATTGCACCGATCGTTTTACAAAGCAGTTCTTAGTTCTAAGCTTGTCTGTCCGTCTGTCCCCCTATCCGTTGAATGGTTTTATTTTCTTTTGTCCAATCTAGAGGGTGCAATTTTAAAAATATTGTTATGAATTTTAGTACAGAGTTTAGTTTTAACTCAACAACGAAAGCTAATGAAGTTGCTTCAGATTAGACCACTTTTCAATCCACTTTTCGACTTTCCCAATAACACCCTATTTTGAAAAGTCATTACATCAATAACTGCATTAAGCAAAGTGCTATCCTACTACAGTGGTTTTACTTGTTTTGGTATCACGCGACGTAGTTCATTAAAAATTTAGTGTAACTAACGTAGACTGAAAGTTTCACGAGCAGAAATTGAAGCATCAGTAGATCGTTTCAATTTATTAAAGCTTTACATTTAAAGCCATATGCGGAAAATGAATATACAAAAAAGTTAAACAATTGTGTGATGTGCCTTACATACCTACTACTTGTCCATGTAGGTATGCATAGCTGATTGTTAGCAGTGTCCCTTGCTTACAGAGTTGCATTTAGTGATCTTTGATTAATGGTCACAACAATAAAAATTTAAATAAAAATATGAACAAGTTTTAAGAAAAGTTAAAAACGAATTGCGGGAGACTTGCAGAAAAGGAAGTTTAGTGTCGATCGCACCTGTTTCGCTGCAACATTTAAAAATTTACAGTTTGGAAATGAAGAAAATTTGACCCGAAGACATTCATAAATTTATGATCAGCCGGTTACGCATTGACCTGTTTATTAATTTCAAGTAAACCACTTAGGTTAAACATTAAGAGGAGTTGTTTTATTATGTCTTGTGGAACAATCAAAACTAAAGTTAAATTTTTTAATTTTGATCTGTAGGCACAATACACCCTTATAACGAAAAATTAGGTCCAGCTAATGTATTCACACTAAAAAAATATATATGGCCGCGGAGTAGCTTGTGTCATCAATTTTTAACCGCAAATCATACAGTTTGTGCACCCCTGGGTTTACAATTTGGCTAAGAAAATACGATAAAATCATAGGTAATGTATGTATGTGTACCATACTGCAAATATTGTATCAACTTTTACCTAAAAAAAAAAAAACTCTTTTTCATAAATGTGCGAACAAGTCCTCAGTAGTGAAATTGTTTTCCTTGCAAGGCATACCTGTCACGTTCACCTCTTTCGAGCTGCGATAATTACAAATTAAATTGGCTTGGAATGAAAATGCAGTAAGCTATGAAGCAGTTAGAAAGTCGCTTGCGGGATTTTGTGAAAAAATGTTTGTCTTGGAGACGATGACTATACGGAAGTAATCCTTAACTTGGGCTACGACGAGCTAGTTTTGATTGCAAGATTATTATCCACATTTGTAAGCGAACCAATAAGAGGAAAAAATCCGCAAATAGTGACGACATGCCTTTCGTCGTTTTAAGTTTTGAATTTGAATCTCATCGAAACAACATAGAGAGAATTTGATCACCTGCTACCTCTAAAATCGAATGTTTAATTATTTTCTTAACAAGAAAGGCCTCGGCTAGAGAAGCTTTTGTTTGATGCAAGCATCACATATCCTATCACAGCTTATATGTGCTGTGTCCAAGAGACATGTGTGCATTCCTTCACAAAGAGGCCAGAAGATAAAAGTTCCAAATATTTTTGAAAAATATTGACGCAATTTAATAGATGCGGTTAACTGCAAGAGGTTTGTTAGATTCAGCGGTTTTGTGTGTGTGTGTGTGTGTGTGTGTGTGTGTGTGTGTGTGTGTGTGCAAAAGCTAAAAATTCATAAATCACCAAAAGTTCAATAAATCTGCAAAGACAACCACTTAACGGCAATGCAACGATAATCGGAAAAAGCGCTTTTAAAGTCAACAGTAAAATGCAGATTTCGCCCAAAATTTATTAGCATAACTGTACAAATGGCGATAAAATGATCCTTTAGACACATGCACACATGCACACATGCAAATATGTGCACAGCGAGGGTATTTCAAGCTGTGAGCTACAACAAAACGGAACATTTTCTAATGCTTATCAGATTTGTTGTGAATACCGGAACCGTATATTTTAAGCCACATCGTTCTATGTCACTAAGCCAACCGAAAAATATGTTTGTGCGAGGTCTTCATTTTCCAAGTGAGCTAAATCAAATTATTTTTTTATTTTTTTTTTAATTAAAAATTATTCTAATAATTGTCCAGTGTTTTAGATGCAACCCGTATTATAGTTAAATAATTCAATTACATAAAATATTCATAAATAAAATTTCGATAAAAGTTTTGAGTCTTTGTGTCACGAGTTGTCAAAATAAATAACCAGAGCATTATACCTGGCAGACATTGCTTGACAATTGCAAAAAATTCTTTAAAAATATTTCATGTCGTTAAGAACGGTGAACAAAGAAGAATAGAAATATTGGCGAAGAAATTTATGCACTTTCCACTCAAAATACGTTATCAAAAGCGAAAATGAGGCAATTGTTTGGATTCGGTGGAATAACAATAGTTATGGTGCTCGGTCAGAAGGATGCGAATTGGAATATAAGCAGTCTTGGTGTCACATAGAATGTGACGGCATTGATTACCATAATAAATCGAATAAAATTCTATCGGAAAATGTTTACTCGTTTAAAAAAAATCGCCATCGAAGCAGGGCGCAGCATACATTTAGTTACGTTCACCGAGAAAGAGATGAAAGAATAGATGGAAGTACTGGCCTTGAAACATTAGAAAAAATTGTCGTGAGCACATTACCTTAACAAAGCCATACATCTTTAATTGTCCGTTAGGTGACACTAGATGCTAGCTTATGTCACTTGGCACTTGGCGAAGGCAATTTTTTTTTTTCGGTCTCTCCAAAACACTCAATGAAGGATATTTAATTAAATATAACAAACAGCATTGTGAGTATAGGAATGTGACTGCACGAATGCTCTATAAAGGACCGGATCGTATATGTAGCTTTGTATGCCACTAGACTACATTCAACACTACATTTGTAGAAAAGCTGTCAAAGTGTATTTATTTTTAAAAAAAAGCCCTTCAATTAGTGGGATTTTAAAGTAAATAGGCTTAAGCCGCTTCACAAAATGAACGGTTCATAATATAACGTATGTATATTGTATTTATTCCGTCATACAAATTTGTTAAAGATATTTGCTTCTCGTTGCAATCACTGTAGGTTTCACGAAACATTTAAATGCAAAGATAAACTTGATATGAAAATCGACATTGGTTTAAAAATTTTTTGGTAAAGAGAACGTGAAAAGAATCAACTCAGTCTGGGTGTATTTCTTTTTTTTTTTCGATGAAGATCGTAGGGGGTTGATTTGTAAATTTCATTACAATATACCCCAATCCGAAAAGAGGCCATAAAATATGTTGCTTTCAACACTTATATATAGTGATTTGTAAGCACAATGGTGCTAGCTAGCATATAACAGTTGATCAAGACGATAAGCCGGCTGGGCCTGTAAAAACACACGCAACTGAGAAGCGCAATGTTCAGTGGTCAAGAAAAGAAATGTGCATTTTTGATAGGCATGAATTTTCCTTTCCTTTGCTTACCTATGAAATCATCAAAAAAAAAAAAAAAAAAAAAGGCAGAAAACAAAAAAGGAAAAAGAAAAAAATTAAAAAAAAACAAAAAATTTGAAAAATTTATGAGTTGGCAAACAACTGAAGCGTATTCAGCAAAAATGATAGTATACATGCTTGCGAATGTATTGCATATTTCAAGGCGTTCATAGTGGAACTTTAATTCTTCTTCTTCCTTTTATGCTCAAAAAAGCTTCTTCTACCATGTTCCATTTATGAACATGAAGGTGCGAAAAACAAAAAAAAAAAAAACAAAAACGAATTATATATGAAAGGTAAATATTTGGAAAAAATTTCATTATTTATTTTTTTGTGTTTTTTTTTCATAATCATCTTTAAGACCATAAGAAAGGAATAGAGAGCACAAATATAAAAATGACCTTAAAATTGCCCGTAACAAATCATGAAGAGTTGAAATTATAACGATGTACAAGTAAAAGTTCAGTTGATATATTTAGTGGCAGTAGTGGCAGTAGTGCCAGTAGTAGAGCTTAACACCTTTAAGCACTGTGCCACTATCAGCACTTGTATAATGCATAAAAAGAAGGAACGCATACATGTGTAAATATCTTATATGCAATATATTTAGTTAAAGTGTTCCAATGTGTTTAGTTTGTCTGTTTCTACTTTTATACTTTTCTCTGCCCTGTATGCGGTTATAAATAACACATCTACCACACATAGGTTTCGAGTTTGTGGTAACTAGGGTACAGTACGCACACCATGTATGTACTTAACAAACGCAATACTTAACAAAACCAAAATGTACAAAAACATATGTAAAGGTAGACATATTATGCTGCATTTCGTACTTATTTATAATGATATATATATATATATATATATATATATCTATATATATGAAGGAGAGAAAGTACGAGAAGAGAAAGCTTATAACAGAAAATTGAAGAAAAAAAAAAAAAAAGAAATATAATGAATAACGAGAAGTAAAAACATCTGTACTAACAAATACCTAAGCGAACTAATGTCGATCATTATACTGCTTGTTGCATGACGTGCTATTCGTACTTCCGGTATTTCAGTTCATGTATTGTGTTATAATGTAATATATAAAATACTATTGAATCAAGTGCTCTTTCCTACATTTATATTAAACGATATGGACCCTGTGTATATATATGTATATATACAATGCAAATATTTTGTATATAAATATGCTTTATATGTTCATTTTATTTGGCCTATTGTGTTATCATATTCTTGGGTCTTTAGTGCCGGCAGAAAATCTACTTACTTCATTATTCACAGCATATTTAATGTGTTCTTAAAAGTCTGTATTTGCAATCGTATGCTTACCTGTAAAGATAACAAAATAAATAATTTATTAAAGGAAAAAAAGTTTTAATCTATAATATTAAATTTAATTAACTTTAGTAAAGTTTTCCCCCTTTAGATATATACGTATACATATATATGAATTTATATCTATATCAGAAAATTTTTTCGATTAATAAGTTATGCATTTAGTTAGTTAGACAGCTGCAATTGATAAACAAATCAATCCACAATTCAATATCGATAAAACATTTAAGTACTTTTTTAACTCTCCAAGGCCTCTTAGAATAAAATTATTGCAAACACAACTTTGTGTTGCCGGTATATATATATATATATATATATATAGTATATATATATAT